GACCCAAGGCGCAACCTTTTCACACAGAGGGTGGTGCGTGTATGGAATGAACTGTCAGGGGAAATGGTGGAGGCTGGTATGATTACAATGTTTAAAAGGCATCTGGATGGGTACATGAATGGGAAGGGTTTAGAGGGATATGGGCCAAATGCTGGCAATTGGGACTAGATTTATTTAGAATATCTGGTCAGCATAGACGAGTTAGACCGAAGGGTCTGTTTCCGTGCTGTACAGCTCTAAGACTGTATAGTGTATCACTGTGTGGAGCCACTCTTCCACTCTCAGGAATTTGTGTGTCATTGCAGGACTGCAGTTCAATTTTTTTTAGCTTCATAGGTGACTGGTGTTTGCAAAAGCCTCGACTATGGCCTTGTCTCCCAAGATTCTCATTGGATACTTTATTGCCATTAGAATTGGAATGAAACATTGAGTATTGTTCCTTTGATGCCCCTCATGTATGGCTGTTGAGTTCAGTGTCTGCAGATTGCCAATGAGGAGGAATTAACAGGCATTAGAAAGTCTTGTCCTTCGTACTCCCACCCAGAAACCCTCCAAAAAACTGCGTTCCTCCAACCCTCAGCCCTTACGGATCCATCACTCTACCATTGATGGCCCTGCCTAACTACCTAGCTCTGGAATTCTCTCCCTAGATGTCCTTGTCTCTCCAATCTCTCTCTCTCTCTCAACACATTCCTCAGAAACCTATTTCCTTCCTGTGTAATATCTCTGTATCTGGGTATGTGTCTAAATGTGCCAGATAATGCTTATGTGACAGACCCTAGATTGTGTCACTAGAGTAATGACACAATGTGGATGCAAGTAGATGTTTTTATAATTGGAGAGCAGTCATTGATAATGTTAGGCCTGAGACATTGACGCTAGTCTGTGAGATCAAGGGAGATACCACGTTTGCTTCTGACACCAACCAATCTATTCAGCTGTTGAGAGAATGTGTTTACGTACAGAACAATCCAGTGGGTATAAAGACTATGAGACCAAAAGATATACGAGCAGAATTAGGCTGTTCGAGTTTCGAGTCTGCTTCAATCATGCTGATGTGTTTCTCAACCCTAATCTCCTGCCTTTTCTCCATAACCTTCGATCCCCTTACTAAGCAAGAACTTGAGTATCTCTGTCTTAAATACACTCAATGACGCAGCCTCCATAGCCTTATGCGGTAATGAGTTCCGCAGATTCACCACCCGCTCGCTGAAGAAATTCCTCCTCATCTCAGTTCTAAAGGGTTGTCACATCACTCTGAGGGTGTGCCCTCAGGTCCTAGTCTCTCTCACTAGTGGAAACATCTTCTCCACATCCGCTCTATCCAGACCCCTCAGTATTCTGTAAATTTCAATCAGATCCTTCCTCATCCTTCTAAACTCCATCGTGTAGAGACCCAGAGTTCTCAACCATTCCTCATTTGACAAGCCCTTCATCCCATGGATCATTCTTATGAACCTCCTCTGGACGCTCTGCAATGGCAACACATCCTTCCTTAGACATGGGGCCTAAAACTGCTCACAATCTTCCAGATGTGGTCTGACAAGAGCCTTATACAGCCTCAGCAGTACATCCCTGCTCTTGTATTCTAGTCCTCTTGAAATGAATGCTAACTTTGCATTTGTCTTCCTAACAGCCACCTGAGCCAGCACGTTAACCTTAAGAGGATCTTGAACTAGGACTCCTAAGTCCTTTTGCACTTCAGATTTTCGAAGCCTTTCCTCATTTAGAAAATAGTATATGCCTTTATTCTTCCTAACAGAGTTCATAATCTCACACTTCCCCACACTGTATTCCATCTGCCACTTCTTTGCCAACTCTCCCAGCCTGTCCAAGTCCTTCTGCAGCCTCCCCATTACTTGTCTCTCCATCCATCTTTGTGTCATCTGCTCAGTTCCTTCATCCAGATTGTAAATGCATAACATGAATAGTTGTGGTCCCAATACTGGCCCTAGTGAAACTCCACTAGTCAACCAGCTGCCATTCCCACTCTGCCTTCTGCCAGCCTGCCAATCCTCTATCCATGCCAGTTCCTCGCCCCTAATACATGGGCCCTTAACTTATTTAACACCCTCCTGTGTGGCACCTTATCAAAGGCCTTCTGGAAATCCAATAGATCACTCCTTTGTCTAATTTTCTTGTTACCTCCTTAAAGAATTCTAACAGATTTGTCAGACATGACCTCCCCTTGACAAAGCTGTGCTGACTCAGCCCTATTTTACCATGCACTTCCAAGTACTCCGCAATCTCATCCTTAATAACGGACTCTAAAATCTTACCAGTGACTGAGGTCAGGCTAATCAGCCTATAATTTACTGCCTTCTGCCTCCCATCCTTCTTAAACAGGGGAGTTAATTAGCCATTTTCCAGTCCTCAGGGAGCCTCCCTGACGCCAGTGATTCCTGAAAGATCACCACCAATGCCTCTACAATTTCCTCAGCCATCTCTTTCGGATCTCTGGGGTGTAGTCCATTGTAGTCTGGGTGATTTATCCACCTTCAGACCTTTCTGCCTCCCTAGCATCATCTTAATGATCGCTACTCTCACCTCTGCCCCTGACTCTAATGAAGTTCTGGTATGCTGCTGGTGTCTTTCACCACGAAGTCTGACACAAAGTATCTATTCAGTTCCTCCACCTTTTGTGCCCCATTACTACTTCTCCAGCCTAGTTTTCCAGTGGTCCAATGTCTACTCTCAACCTTTTTATATATGTAAGGGGTAAGGGGTAAGGGATACTGTGGAGACACTGGGGACTTTCTCCTTGGAGAAGAGAAGGTTTGATGGAGGTGATAAAAATTGAGAGGGCTCTGCACAGAGTAGACTGAGAGAGATGGTTCCCACTGTTGGAAGAATCAGAAGGCACAGATTTACATTAATTGGCAAAAGAACTAAAGCTGATATAAGGAAAATCTTTTTAACACAGCATGTGGTTAGAATCTGAAAGCATCTGCCTGAGAGTATGGTGGAGGCAGGCAGATCTAATTCAGGCTGTCAGGAGAGAATTAGAACAGCACCAGAGGGCAGTGGGAGAAGGTAGGAGAGTTGAGAGCTACTATGAACACAACCGTCCAAATATCCTTCCGTCCCAGTAACCATTCCGTGGATCAGTAAAACGAGGGGTCAGCAACCAGTTTGCTTCCAGGAGACAGATTGATGCAGAAGTAGGAATGGGAGTGGGTTTGGAGCATTTGGCCCATAGAGTCTGCTCTGTCATTCAGTACGATCATAGCTGATCTTGGTCTTTGGTGACACTTTCCTGCTGACACCCTTTATCATATAATTCCCGAGAGACAAAAGACTTGCATATTCCAGCCCTTAAATATGCTCAATGATGGAGAATCCGTAATTCTCTGGGGCAAAGAATCTTTTGAGTGAATTGATTTTTCCTCGTCTTAGTTGTAATTGTTCGGACCCTTCATTCCTGCTGAGAATTAAAAATTATTTTATTGAGCATGGCAGCTTCTTACTGAACTCTCTTTGCTGGATTTATGGTGACTTACCACGTTTCCAATGGACAAAAACCCACATCCTGTGACTGAATAAAACAAAATTGTATGTGCTGTAAATGTCACATAACTAAAATGCATTAAATGTTTTAAAAAATGCTTAAAACTTTAGGCCATGTTAATTTAAAGTTCACAAAGTGAATATTCACTCTCCTGTTTAAGCCTTTTGTTGATAAACTGTAGCCAATCAAACCAAATTAAAAGACCTTTAAAAGAGCTCTGTAATTTAAAATGAATTATAATTTTGTTTTGGACAGAGATAAACACAACCCAGGCTTCCTGGTGCCGAGTGGTCACAAAATCCCCGAAGTGTGTTAATGAGCACTGCAGGCTCCTTCTTCACACACAGCTGGGATTTATCCTGTTTATAGATTCACTGCTTATGTTGGTTAATCAGAACAGGAGAAGCCCATTCAGGCCTTCAAGCCTGATAGCTTTCAATTAAATCGGGGTTAATCTGTATCCTAATCCCATTTGTCCTTAGCATCCTTCGTCTCATAGAAATCTGACAGTCTCAGTCCTGAACATTTTAATTAGCCAGCCTTTAGCGAGGGGAGAGGTTTCACATATGGATTTCCATACAGGGCAGTGCCTAATCTGACGTAATTTAACTTTTATTATGTTTTGATGCAAGAGCCAGAAGTTAAAATGATTTCATTTTTGAAGAAGTTAATAAAAGCACACGAGCAAATTGCAACGGTGCAATTCGATTCTGCATGAAATGATTGCAATTTATATATTCCGTTCCAAACTGAGGGCAAAAGTAAAACCCCACTTGGTGATGTTTGTCACAGTGTTCATTCACCCAGGTCTGACTGAAATAGTTCACAAGTTTTCATTTGAAGGAGATTGATGGAATGTGATTGAGAAATTCTGCTTTAACCTTTTGGTGTCATCCCTCTACCCCACTTTGTGCTGGTTACCTGCTGTTCATTCACTTGATCACCAGCGTCAGGAGAGGCTGGCTTTGAGTTGAAGTATTCAGTGACACTTGCATCCCCTTTCATTCATTATCAGTGATCCCCAATTTACAAAGGCCCGACTTACAAATGCTTGTACTTGTGAATGCAGAAGGGTGTGGGTTTGCGTCCCACTCGGGGCTTGAGCACAAAAATCTGAGTTGTCTCTTGCGGCGCAGGGCTGGAGGGTGTGCTGCACTGTCGGTCTTAAACTGAGGCTCCACCTCTCCTCTCGGGTGACAGTAAAAGTTCTGAAGACCAGCGAGAGAGGTGCCTTTCCTGGCTGCCATTTATCCCTCGATTTAAAACAGATATCCTTGTCATTCAGAATTGCTGTTTGTGGGAGCTTGCAGTGCACAATTGGCTGCTGAGCTTTCTACCTGGTGACAGCGAACATTGACTCTGACTTGCTGAGAGGGTGGGTGGGAGAATGCTGTTGCCCTTGAAAGGCACTATGTGAGTGGAGGCTCTTGTTCTGTGGTGTGTTCACTCTGCGGTTCCTGCACGTGGTTAATTGCTGATTTGTCTCTTCCAGCTCTGTGGCTGTGGACTCCTGGGAGTGGGAATATGGCTGTCAGCAACACAAGGCAGCTTCGCCACCTTAGCACCCAGTCTGCCTTCGCTCTCAGCTGCCAACCTGCTCATTGCCATTGGGACCATTGTGATGGTGGTCGGATTTCTGGGTTGTCTCGGTGCCATCAAGGAAAGCAAGTGCCTCCTTTTAAGTGTGAGTGACTGTTAATTCTCAGCGGGCGTGACTGAGGCCATGTTTCAACCGGTTGGTAAGATATGCATTACATAAGAGAACTGTGGCCGACTGACTGACCGCTGGCTGTGAGGACAGCATTATCCTGTCTGGCTGCTTGACGTCTCACACTGTAACACACCAGACCTTTCAGGGGCAATGGACTCACCAACACAAGTAAAACAATCTCTTCCTTTGGTGAACAAAATTTATCTGCAAAAACCTGAAGTCAGGCTTGGCTTCAATTAAAGATGGAATGAGCAGCTTTTGTGCGTATGTGCGTGTGTGTGTGTTCAAACAAAGATGCAGTTTCCCTGTAAGACTGCAAGAACAAAAATTAAGCAGGGGTAGACCATTGAAGCATGATTCAACATTCAATATGATCATAGCTGCTCTTGGACTTCAACTGATAGCCTGAGAGACCAAAGATCTCTATTGAAATGTATTCAGTAATGTCAAAAATCTGTCCTTAAATTTATTCAATAGTGAAGAGTCAATAAAACTCTGCAGCACAGAAGTCTGAAGACTCTCAATCATTTGAAGGAAGAATTTTCTCCTAATTCCAGTTCTAAATCATCAATCACCTTTCCTAAAACTGTCTCTCCCTATTTTGGATTCCCCATCCATGGAGAATAGATTTCTCAATGGCCTCTTTATTAAGCCCCTTCAGAATCTTCCCTGTTGCAATGAGATCATCTCTCGTTCATTCAAACTCCAAAGAATATCAATGCAATTTACTCAGCCTTCAATTATACAACAGCCCCTCACTCTAGGGAGCTAATGTAATGACCCTCTGCTGTTATCAATTCCAGTGCAAGTATATTCTTCCTTAAGTATGGAGATCAAAACTGCTCACTCTACATTGAGTGCAGGTATATAGTTCCTTGAAAGTGGATTCCCAGGTAGACAGGGTGGTGCAGAAGGCATTTGGCATCCATGCTTTCATTGGTCAGAGCATTGAGTACAGCAGTTGGAATGTCATGTTACATCTGTACAAGACATTGGTAAGGCCATGTTTGGGGTACTGCGTACAATTCTGGTCACACTACTATAGGAAGATGTTATTAAACTGTAAACAGTGCAAAAAAGATTTACAAGCATGTTACTGAGACTGGAGCATTTGAATTAGGCTAGGACTTTTCTCCGTGGAGAGTAGGAGGCTGAGGGGTGACCTTATGGAGGCCCTTAAAATCATAAGGGGCATAGATAAATTGAATAGCCAAGATCTTTTCCCCAGGGTAGGGGGTCCAAAAGTAAAGGGCATGGGTTTAAGGTGAGAGAGAAAAGATTTAAAAGTGACCCGAGGGCAACTTTTTCACACACAGGATGATGCGTGTATGGAATGAGCTGCCAGAGGAAGTGTAAAGGCAAGTACAATTACAACATTTAAAAGACAGGTATGTGAATAGAAATGTGAATAGAAAGGTTTAGAGGGATATGGGGTAAACGTAGGCAAATTAGACGATCTCAGTTTAGGAAACCTGGTCAGCACGGATGAGTTGTGCCAAAGGGTCTGTTTCTGTGCTGATGCCAGATCTGGTCTCACCAAAGCCCTGTACACTTGTAGCTGTACTTGTTTTATTCTTGTACAACAGTCCCTTTGCAGTGAAGGTCAACATGCCATTTGACTTCAGAACTGCTCATTGATTTTGTATTCCTTGCACAAGTACAGCCAAACCTCTCTGAAAGTCAACATTAGTCAGTATAATCCCTACTAAAATAACATTCTTCTTTTTCTCATCTTGCCACCAAAATGAATAACCTCACACTTCCCCCACATTATATTCTATCTGGCAATTTGTTGGCCCCTCATTAATCTGTCTGCACCCCTTTGCACCCTCTGCGTTCCCCTCACAATTTACATATCCATCTTGTTTTAATTCTAGATACATTACTCTGTCTCTTCGTCTAAGTCAATGACATAGATTGTAAATAGCTGAGGCCAAGAGTCAAATTAAATTTTTCTTTCGAGAACACCTCTTAAGATCTTCCTGGTGACTGCCTTTTGATTTTTGGAAGCTTCTTTTTGGTTTTCAGCAGCTGCTTTGTCATTGTTAGAGTCAAAAAGCTGTACATCACAGAAACAGACCCTTCAGTCCATCTCTGAGCAGATGTTCTAAAATAATCTAGTCCCATTTGCCAGCATTTGATCCATATCCCTCTAAACCCTTCCTATTCATATACCCATCCAGATGCCTTTTAAATATCGTAATTGTACCAGCCTCCACCACTTCCTCTGGCAGCTCATTTCCATACACGCGCCACCCTCTGTGTGAAAATGTTGCCCCTTGGGTCCCTTTTAAATCTTTCCCCTCTCACCTTAAACCTATACTCACTAGTTTTGGACTCCCCTACCCTGGGGAAAAATCCTTGGCTATTCACCCTATCCATGTCCCCTCATGATTTTATAAACCTAGGTAGGGTCACCCCTCAGCCTCCGGTACTCCAGGGAAAACAGCCCATGCGATGATAAAATGGTGTTGCCCTGTAACTTTGTGTATTTGTGCTGAATTTTTGGGGGTTCCTCCTTTTAGATGGATAAGATGTTACAAATACCAATCAATACTTGGTCTGTAGTTATGCGTCCCAGGCGTAGCCCCATACCCACTACCCCAGGCTGACACATGGGTATCACAGTATGCAATTTCCTTGTTCATTCTCAGCCAGTTTCCAAAGAGAAGGCGTCTTAACCAGTGTTCAGTGATTGCTTCTGCGGTAATTAAATCTTCTCTGCTAAATTGGAAAGAGTCCACATCCCACTAGCCTCTCACATAATTGCAGATTATATAATTATCTCAGAGAGTCTCTGCTCCTTCTGTGTATAACCTCAAGTGAGGACCTCAAAACTGGACACAATAGCAGGAGGCCACAGCCTAGTGGTATTATCGCTGGACTGTTAATCCAGAGATCCAGGTAATGCTTTGGAGACCCTGGTTCAAATCCTGCCATGGGAGATGGTAGCATTTGAATTCAATAAAATATCTGGAATTAAGAGTCTAATGATGGCCATGAATCCATTGTTGATTGTTGGGGAAACACTCATCTGGTTTAGGGAAGGAAGCTGCTATCCTTACATGTGACTCCAGACCCGTTGTATTATGGTTGACTCTTAACTGCCCCTTGGGCAAGGAGGGATGGGCAATAAATGCTGGTCCTGCCAGTGAATGAATAAAAAAATCTAGTCACTAATGTCCTTTAGGGAAGAAATCTGCCGTCCTTACCTGGTCTGGCCCTACATGTGACTCCAGACCCACAGCCAATGTGGTTGACTCTTAACTGCCCTCTGGGCAATAAATGCTGCCTCACCAGCGAAGCCCTCATCCCGTTAATGAATAAAAGAAAAATGTTATTTACGTTATCTCTGAGTTTGTGTGCTCAATATCCCCATGTAAATAATTACTGCCTATTTGCTATTTTTCTTTATTGAAAACCCATGCATTGCCCTTCAAGCTGCTGGCAATGCTTCCCATAACTGAATCATGATCCCAATATGTTAACACACCCCTCACTCTAACCTGACACTCTTGGGGCACTATGCACAGTAAAACTATCCATTTCTGAGAGTGACAAATGGCCTTCTCTCCTTCTTCAATGTTCTCCCCTTTGTGCTGTGGGCACACATTTGTTGCTCCTCACTGCTTGCCCCTGGAGAAGGTGGTGCTGACCTGCTGTGGTCCTTGTGCTGTAGGTAGACCCATGGCGATATTAGGGAGACCGTTCAAGGATTTTGACCCAGCAGCACTGAAGGAATGGTGATAGATTTTCCAAATAGGGATGGTGAGTGGCTTGGAGGGGATCTTGGAGATGATGGTCGTTGGCATTTTGCAGTTCTTCTCTTGCCTAGGGAGACATTAGCGGTGTGAGTTTCTGTTGTCCATCTGCCCAGATACCACTGAAAGGAACATAACTACATCATCAGTTTCATTTGTGGGATTTTCCTGCAAACAGACCTTGACCACTGAATGACGAACTGCACCTCCTACAGATGTCATTGGTGTGAGGTACTCTCAAATAGGATGCTACATGAATGGAACTGCTGTTGTTAACCTGAAACAAAAACAGAAGTTGCTGGAAAGGCTCAGCAGGTCTGGCAGCATCCGTGAAATCAGAGTTAATGTTTCGGGTCCAGTGACCCTTCCCAGGAGGACATTAGGAAGGGTCACCAGATCTGAAACGTTAACTCTGATTTTTCTTCACAGATGCTGCCAGACCTGCTCAGCTTTCCCAGAAACTTCTGTTTTTGTTTCTGATTTGCAGCATCCGCAGTTATTTTGGTTTTTATGCTGTTGTTAACCTGTCTGAATATCAGGAATGTGATTTGTGTTTCCTGCCATGTTTGACTTATGGAATTCGAAACTCCCGCCTGCTTTAATAATGCACCCTCTCCTTTCTGTTGCAGTTTTTCATTGTCCTGCTGATCATTTTCTTTATGGAGCTAATCCTTGTCATCCTGTTCTTCGTGTATAGAACAGAGGTAAGTGTTTGGCCTCACTTTCATTTTGCAACGAAACATTGGAAACTTTAATCAGCAAGTCAGAATGTCAACTCACATTAGGGAACAATTCAGAGGAGCTGCTCCAGAAAATTTCATAAGTTCTTGGCCAGAGATGATAAACTCTCGAATAACTGGGTGAAAACGTTGATTATTTTACTGCCTTACCAGCTCTGCTAAAGCAGGCTCCAGGGAGGAGAAAGTACAGATACCGCACAATATCCAGTTGGAGAGTGGTTCAGTGGTTAGCACTGCTGCCTCACAGAGCCAGGGACCTGGGTTCGATTCCACCCTCGGGCGACTGTCTGTGTGTGGAGTTTGCACATTCTCCCTGTGTCTATATGGGTTTCCTCCAGGTGCTCCAATTTCCTCCCACAGTCCAAAGATGTGCAGGTTAGGTGGATTGGCCATGGGAAATTTCCCATAGTGTCCTGGGATGTGCAGGCTACGTGGGTCAGCATGGGAGATGCAGGGTTACAGGGGTGGGTCTCAGTGGGATGTTCTTCGGATGGGTAGTGTAGACTTGATGGGCTGAATGGCTTGCTTCTACACAGTAGGGATTCTATTAGTTTAGGATCCAAGGCAATGTAGTTGAATCTTGGGTTATGTAATATTGAGTGCCAGAGACACTTATTCCATGAACAAATATAAATAAAATGTTACTCCAGCATCAGTAGAGAGAAGCATAGAGCAGAGAGAACCTTACAAAGAGTTAGACACAGCACTTGAGTGCACAGTAACCTGTAAATATGCAAAAAGATAGTGTTACAGTACTGAAGAATATAAATAATTAAACATTGCTAAGAGGGGACAAAAAGTCAAAGCTTTTCGTTGTGTGCTCATCAAAACTAGGAGGCAAATAATAGATTTAAGAAAGGGACGTCATTTTACACAGCGTGAGAAGAGGGTGCTGATTGGTTGGACAAACCGTGGAGATGCCACAGAACAGTTAACTGTCAATCTTAATTCTTAGACTAGACAGGTAGATTCTGATTGGCCAGAGTGTTGTCATGGTAATACAACAGATTCTTGATCAGTAGGGACATCAAGGATTATGGGCAGAGGGCAGGAAAGTGGCTGTGAGGATTGTCAGAATGGGCTTGAGGGGCTGAACGGCCTACACTTGTTCCTATTTTGTGTAGCTTTATTAGCTGTTTCTGTGACTCCTTTTCAATGTAAAGGTTCCTGTATCTGTTTTCTTGACCCTGTATCTATTCCTTTTCTTTACATAAAACAGAGCCCTATGCATTAATATAGGTAGCTCCATACACAAGCAAATGCATCACACTGGGAATCGGACTAATGATCTTAGATTCAATTTCAGTCTAATTCTGAGCACAGTCCAGATTATCTCACAAATGATTTCCAGTAGCAGAATCACATCTAATGGTGGATGTATTTTCCTGACTCCATGACCCCTTATCCTGCATATTAATGTTTTGTGTGGCACCTAATTAAATACATTTTGAAAATCCATGTATATTTACTGGTTACCCTTTATGCACCTGACTAATTGTACCCTCAGAAAAATGTAATGAATTTTCTGAACTCTATTTCCCTTTTGTAATCCTCGTTGACTCTGCCGGATCATGATGTGATTTTCGAAGTGCACTGTTAGGACTTCCTTGCCATTGGATTTCCCAACAACTAACCTCAGGCTAATGAGCTTGAAGTTCCCTGTTTGCGCTCTCTCTCTCCGTCTCCCGTTTTGATTAACGTTGTTTCACTGGTTAACTTCCAGTTTGCTGGGACTATTTGAGAACACCAGGCAGCCCCTGAGAGTGACTGGGATCCAGGTCTTAGTCAGGAACTGGACAGTGACACCCTCTTCGAAGTTCAAGTGGTTTGAATTTCCTATATCCGTGCTGCTCAAATCCATTCCCATCTATTCCTGGATAATGAGCCTTCAGCAGATTCCCACTCCGTCATCCACACTTAATACCAAGGACTCAGAGGAATGGTTATTTTAAAGAGGTCACTTGAGTGAAAGCTTATTTAGAGGGGACACCGTGTCACTGCTAATCAATAATTGATCATGAAGGAAACCTGACCTGCAGCTTGCTGCTGTCTAAAGACTCTCGGGACAGAGGTAGTTGTTAGCAGCTCAGCTGCTGGGGAATGGACAGTTCAATTACCATTTGATGCTGGCCCCACACTTGTTTCTTCAGGCAGAGCAGCAAGAATCAATAGCTTTGTGTTCATCTCATTACAACTTGCCCTCATTATAACACTCTCCCTTCTCATTGCACCACCCTCCCCTCATTTATACCATCCCTCTCCTCCCTCTTTACACACCTTCCCTTCAGTACAGAGTCCTCCTCTCATCATAACTCTGGCTCCTTCACAGCTCCCTCCTCCCATTCCAGCATGCTTCCTGTCTTGTAGAGTCCTCCCCCTGCACCTTTACAGTAACTTCCTACATTGCAGCATCTTCTACTCATTACTGCAGCCTCCCCTGGTCACAGTGCTCTCTCCCCACTACAGCATCTATCCTTAATTACAGTACCTTCCCTTTATGATGGCACCCATCCCTCTGGCAGTGTCCCTTTCTTCACTGGAATGTTTGATCACTCGTCCATCTCTGCAGTCTCCCTTCAATCTTCCTGTCCTTCTTTTGTCCAACAAAATAATCGTTCTGGGTGCTATGAATCACCTAAATAGTACAATCTATTGGATAATATATCTATGTATCACAAAAGTACCTTATCCTTGGCAGCACGGTGGCTCAGTGGTTAGCACTGCTGCCTCATAGCGTTAGGGACCCTCATTCAATTCCTCCCTCCGGCAAATGTCTGTGTGGAGTTTACACATTATCCCCGTGTCTGCGTGGGTTTCCTCCGGGTGCTCCGGTTTGCCCCCTCAATCCAAAGATGTGCAGGTTAGGTGGATTGGCCATGCTAAATTGCCCCACAGTGTTCAGGGATGTGCAAGCTAGGTGGGTTAGACATGGGAATTGCAGGGTTACAGGAGTAGGTTAAGGGGCTGGGTCTGGGTGGGATGCACTTTGGAGGGTCGGTGTGGACTCAATGGGCCGAATGGCCTGCTTCCACACTGTGTTGATTCTATGATTGTGCTGAGCCGAGAGATCTGGATTCAACTCTCACCTGCTCCAGAGGTGTGTAGTAACGTTTCTGAACAGGTTGATTAAAAATGCCATGTGGAGCCATCAGAAATTGTGTTGACAATGAAAGCCAACATTAACTAGACTAGTGGTAGGATTTCATGAGGAAGGCAGTTTTAAAAATAGTACCTTCTCCCTTCTGAGTGTAGGGCTTCTTTAAAGAGGGGTAAAGAATGGACAATGTTCTAGATTCTAACACACCCTGAGTGCGGAGGAGCACTAGTGTAACACCAGCGTGGCCTAACATAACAAAAAAAAATGCAACCAATTCATATTTTATTTCAGATTCTGTATTTAAGGAGAATTACATTCAGTTATTTATTCATGGACAGCCCCTAATTGACCTTGCTTTGAGTGGCCTGACATGAAGGGAGGTTGAGCTGTGGGACTGGGCAAGGATGGTAGATTTTCTTCCCTGAATGAGATGGGTTTTTGCTACAATGGATGATAGGTGACCATAGCAACTGATACTCCCTTTTATTTATCAATTTGAATTTGAATCCCACCAACAACCACGGTGGGATTTGAACCTTGTGTCGCTAGGATATCAGTCTGGACCTCTGGATTACTAGCCCGGTGACATCATCATTTCCTCACTTAAGCAAACATTGACAAACTAATCTGACTTCTTTGCAGGACAAACTTAAACAGTGAGTAGTGTATGGAGAATTGACTCTGAACCAAAATGGTTTTTAGTGGTGTATACTGGGATAAAAGCCTTTTTGTTATATCAACGTGTGCAAGCACTCAGTGAATATTGTCACATTCAGGGTACAGAGCGTAGTAAGGAATTGTCATATGCTGATTTGCTACATTTGATTGGGCCCCAGTGCCAAATTACATTCAGTTTTCCGAAGGGGGCCTGGTTGCAAGGTTTTCCAGATTTCTTTGAAAACAGTTCAGGGTTGCTGAAGAGTAGTTCCTGGGTCTCAGTCAGCTGGAGTTGAAGACCGATTCAAGCAGAAAAGAACTGTTAAGCTATAATGTGGGGGAAAAAAGCGAATGAACTACATTTGAGTCGGTATAGTTTGGGACTCGATGAGAAGTCAAACCCCCAGTTGAATGGTTCTGTAATGTTAGACCCTGAACAGAGGGTCCAGGAGTTACTAGACAGTTAAATGATGGAGTCTGAGCTCCAGAAATGTTCTAGGAGCTGTGGAGGCTCGGGCAAAGCCATGTGCCACTGATTGTTCAGTGCATTTGTGAGCATGAATGAAGAAAACCCATAGGCAGTACTTGTGTAACTTCACTAGAATTCAGGAAAAATCTGACGGGTACTGACTTGGTGGAGCTCACCTTTTGTAAAGAGTGCACCCTGCAGTGCTGTTTCCAACCATGCAGGCGAACATTGTCCTGAAGAAGTCAGCACAGAAGTCATGTTGCGGCTGTACAGGACATTGATTAGGCCACTTTTAGAATAGTGTGTTCAGTTCTGGTCTCCCTGCTATAGGAAAGATATTCAACTTGAAAGGATTCAGAAAAAGATTTACAAGGATGTTGCCCGTGTTGGAGGGTCTGAGCTATAGGGAGAGGCTGAATAGATGGGACTATTTTCCCTGGACAGTCGGAGGCTAAGGGGTGATCTTTTGGAGGTTTATAAAATCATGAGGGGCATGGATAGGGTGAATAGCCAAGTTCTTTTTTCCAGGGTAGGGGAGTCCAAAACTAGAGGGCATAGGTTTAAGGTGAGAGGGGCAAGATTTAGAAGGGACCCAAGGGACAACTTTTTCACACAGAGGGTGGTGCGTGTATGGAATGAGCTGCCAGAGGAAGTGGTAAAGGCTGGTACAGTTACAACATTTAAAGGGCATCTGGATGGATGTATGAATAAGAAGGATTTAGAGGGATATGGGCCAAATGCTGGCAAATGGGACTAGAATAATTTAGGATTTCTGGTCAGCATGGATGAGTAGGACCGAAGGGTCTGTTTCCGCACTGTGCATCTCTATGACCCTAAGTGTTTGACCATTAATTGTCTGTTATTCACATTGACCTCATATTAAGTTTGGGATGTTAGAATACAAGTCAGTGTTTCTTTGCACAGGCTGTTGGCCACATCACCAACCTGGTTAAATAGTAATGATCAGTAGCAGCGTGGGATTATAAAGGAATCAGTGCAGTGCTCTAATGTCAGTCATTTCAATACAAATGGCCACAAGAGGGTGCTGCTTTACTCCTCCCTTAATGAATATGTGACACAATGAGGAAAATTCCTTGCACATATATGTTTCTCTTGTTTTCCATTTATTTACAAATCTAACTTAACCACCCGTTTCCCAAGGTCACCTTCAGAACTCGGGGAAAGATCTATCTTGGCCTGAGACTGAGGAGAAGTCTATAAAAAGGACAGAATTTATGTCAGTGTCAGGATAAACCATATGCCAGAATAAACAATAAATGAGTTTCTTATCACACATACAGATATGTAAATGATCACAAGAGGGTGCTGTGACAGTAATGAGAGGCTGGGCATTGATGGGCTGGGAGTTGCTGTGGGGGTGCAGTACAGGTGAATACTGGTACAGATCCACCCTGTGTTGTGAATGGGTTCCATTCCTGAGTCCTTTCACAAGTCAATTTGTACACAAGTTGGAACACAGTGCAGGACAATATAAAACAGCCATTCATAAATACAAGGAAACATTCACTCGTTGAATCTTTACAATTAATATTAATACGCTGCTGTCTGGGATCACACTCATCAGTATAAGTGTTCGTAAGTCAGATGATTAATCAACTGGGGACCCCATGCATGTTTGTTCTACAAATGTGAATTGTGCCTTGTTTCTGTCTGTCTCTAAAATACAGTCTCTTGTTTCCTCACAGGTAGCTGAGTATGCACGTGGGGATCTGAAGTTGGGCCTCACACTATATGGATCAGAGGGGAATATCGGACTAACTAACGCATGGAATATCATTCAGACAGAGGTGTGTTTCACTCTGCAGAGAAACACATGATCTGACTCACAGATCTATAGTTTTTTCCCTCCTGCCAACCCTCCCCCCATGTCTGACCTTCCCCTCATGAGCTGGGACATAGTCCTATGTCTGAGACATAGTCCCCAAGATGATAATGGATTTTCATGTAAAACTGGGGTGTTTGATCCATTTTAAACAATTTATAATCAACACCTAATACATTACTTACTAATTGAAGTAAATGTGAAATTTACATCTTAAGAAACCAGTCAGAATATTTTTTTCAGTCAGAATATCATCTTCCTATAGTCTCTCATCTTCTCCTCTTACTGTTCAACTTTATAAAATCTGCTCAAATCCATACAGTCGCCCCCCCCTCTCTTAAACACACTACAGCGTACAACTCTCCCACTTTTCACACATGTATGTTATAGCATATTCAGCTCTCTGCCCTCGGCGCGCTCTCTCTCTCTGCCCTCGGCGCGCTCTCTCTCTTTGCCCTCGGCGCGCTCTCTCTCTCTCTCTTTGCCCTCTGCGCGCTCTCTCTCTCTCTCTCT